GGGGGGCGGCACGAACGTTGTCGGTTTTTTCTTTTTACGACCGTTTGCAGCACTACAAGTAAATACATAGAAATAACACTTGATTTGTGCTATTTGCACATTTGACTTTTGAAACAAACAAAAAAATAGCCTGTAATATGCCAACATAGACCTGGATACCTTTCAGTCAAAGTCCCACGAAATAGGTCAGCCTTTTTGGAGAGAGACAGAGAGAGACAAATATGTTAAAATATTTTCATTATAAACAAAACATATAGATTAGTTCATCTCTTACCTGTGATTAACTGGATTAGAGAAGCGACAGTTGAAGACGCCGGGTATGGCCGCGTTCTCTGTTGGGGTAGAGGTATCACCTGGTGAATTTAACTCATCTTGTACTACCTACCACCTGCCTACACTACCGCTAATACAAACTTACGTTGTATTGCCACCTTCCTATTAATAATTAAAATATTGTCATCTCTTTCAATCTCTTTAAAAAAAAAACAGAGATAGCAATAGTGTTCGTACATATTTGAAATTTAAAACAACACCTGCCTACATCTATCACTAGTACAAATTTACGTTCTACTGACGCCTTAATGACACATTACGAAAATATTCCCATCTCTTTCAATCTCTTTGAAAGAACAGAGATAGCAATAGCGTTCGTTCGAAATTCAAAATAACATATTTATGAGCTATAGAATTACATAAATGTTCTACTCCATACCATTCTTGTTCTGTGATGAGGCGTTGGTGCTGTTGGTGCCTTGTCTGTTCTCCCCCAACATGTAGCCCAGCCGTCGCACGTGGAAATATCTATATCAAGTTCTCAATTATCATCCAATTACCGTGCATTTCCACTCTTAAAACACTGGTATAAAACATAGTGCTATCCCTTTTATTCTACTTTCAAAAAGAGAGACAAAAACTGTTTGTGCAATTATTATGTTAAATCCTTCCATCAAGTAAAGATTATTGAAATTGTTTAGTACTCAGCATTTGAGTTGGCACATCGGACGTTACCGTACTCATATTCCCGATGTGCCAATTCAAATGTCGGGTAACTACATTAGTTATTGGCCATTGAAATCTTGTTGGTGGTTGACCTTGAGCACATCATACATACATCATCAGCTCACTATACGTCCCCACCGAGGGTCTCGGAGTATACCCTTAGTTAGGGTTGACTAGACCATAGTCAACTACGCTGGCCTAGTTCGTGTTGACTTCACACATATATTTGAATTTTCTTCTCAGATATGTGCAGGTTGCATCAACCTTGAGCCTTGTGCGCCGCTGCGTATCTTTAGATCCCGTTACTCCTGAAATCCTGTTCTATGCAGCAACTGCGATATTCCGAGCTTCCAAGATATTTGAATAAAACAATACCTGTAGTATATAAGCATGAAGGCGAGTCCCGCGCAGAACGCGGCGGCTGCAGCGGCGGCGGTGGCGGCGGGGCGCGCGGCGCGACCTGACCACCACCAGGCCGACACCAGCACCCAGTTCTCCACGCACATCACACAGTAGAATATCACCTAGGAATATTAAATGAGAGATGTCAATCATTGGGGCGTTTACCCTACCTTTGGTTGATTTCGTTTAATGGCTACACATACAAAATAGTAGAGTATTTTTCTGATACCTACATTGAGATAGATCCTAAAATTATTTCAATTGTTTTGTTTATAAATAGATTCCAAAATTTATTTAATCGCTCTCTAATCGATAGTGTGTTTCGATTGATGTTTTTCCATCTTAATCGATTTCGACTCGAACAGATTGCACTACAAAATATTTATTAAAAATCCTGTGTAAAAGTAATAATATTAGTTTGAGACGTATTCGGTTCAGGCAGTTATAGCATTACTAGAAATTTAAAACCCTCCGTATATTACTAAAAATCATGAATTTAATTTTGCGCATATAATAAATTTATTTTTGGAGGTCAGTTACTGGGACGTTTACCCTAACTATAAAAAGTGTTTTATAGTAAACATGAGTCACCATCTTCTGTCGATGGTTGAGTTCCTGCAGGTTGACGTAAGCGAAGACGTATACAAAAGCGATGAGTGCGGAGAGGTACGCCTTGCGCGGCCGACTGATGCGCTCTCCGTGGAACACGTTGCGAGGTGATATCAGCCATAGAAACATTGACACCCAATGTAAACCTACACACAAAATACATTGATAACAACACTTCTGTGTTCGTAACGCCTTATTTTAGTCCTCTTTCCATTCCCATCCTTTTACTTCTAAGGAAAGGATGAAATGAAAAGAGGAAATGCATAGGAAGAGATAATATTCTCTTTCTCTACATCCCCTCGAACGCATCTGCAATTGCGTATGTCTATGGGCAACAGTCGCTTTGCTATTTCACCGATTTCAAGTGACCGCTCACTCGTTTGCCACTTTATGATATAAAAAAACTTACACAATTAATAAAAATTATCGTAAAATAAATATAAAGAATTGTTAGTTAAAATATAACTCACCTATAACTAGAAACACCCAATATTCATAGACTAGAGCGTACACGGTGAGAGCGCAAATTCTCGCAGATATAGTTCCCAGCCTCCATAGAAACTGCAAACAAAACATTCCTTAATTTGTTTACAAACTATTCAAAATGCATCAACAGAACTGCTTACTTTTTGCCTGGTTCATCTATACTAATATTAAAAATCGGAAGAGTTTGTTTGTTTAAAATCAGGAAAATCAAATCGGGTCCGATTTGATTATTTTTTTTGAATATTCCATTTATACAGGCAGGCTTTAGGCTATATAACATTACGCTGCGACCAATATTTTCTTTAATTCCGCGCGGACGGAGTCTCGGCCGACAGCTAGTACAATATAAAGTTAATTAAAAACGGAATACATACCTGAAAGATAACACCGAGCCAGGTGAGAACGAGCCTGTGGACGTTCTGCAGACGCACATTCTTACTGAAGCTGGCGAGAGCCCAGCACACAGAGAACAACGATAGAGACGCCGATATCACGTTCAGTTCCGCGAACGCTCTGTTTGCTGCAACAAACACATCAAAGACCAAGCTTCATCATCAGCTCACTATAGGTCCCCAACGAGAGGCTCAGAACCTGTTGTTTTCCTTAACCGTAAGAAGGTCGGAAAAATGTACTTATGTAAATCGGAAATCGAAATACACATTGGTACATGGCGGGATCCGAACTCAGGACCTGCAGGTTGCAAGTCAAGTGCTTGACCCCTGAGCCAAAGACGCTCAAAGACCAAGCTTATTGGTAAGTAATGTTTGACCAACATTCCACCTGCTAAAGCGGCGATGTCTAAAAATAGTACGCACTAGAGGAAAAGTACCTATTTACCCTATTCTTGAACATTACAAGCTATAATTTTCATACAGGATTTCTGGACCAGTTCCAAAAGCCAAAAGCCGGAGTAGACAACTGGGAAAACTAGCGTAAACCTGTGCTATTCTTACCAGAAGGCTCGTCTATACTAGGCTCGGGTGTAACGCCGACTTCGCTAAGTGGCTCATAACTGGTGTCCTTGAATAGGATGTGCAGTTGGAGCAGCAACATGGGGGCCGCCTCGCAAAACGCGTGCACCAACCGAAGCATACCTGCATGAATACAAAATATATATAAAATTTAGCTTACGTAATCTGTATTTATGACAAAATCCAATAAACTCTACTTACAAAGATCTCGTACTTGATGTTTAACACGTCTCAGTTCAACTGGCACTAGCAATCGCGCATATCGCCACAGCACGCCCACCTGTAGGCAGTGAAGCAGGATGGGTAGCCAAGGAGGCCGGCCCTTGCGTCCCTCACCAGCCCACCATACGTGCAAGTACCAACGGAGAGATAAAACCTACAGTTGTAATAAAAAAAAAACGTTATTCAAGACCTGTAGTCGACAAAGTCACTTCTCATAATTTCATCTTCTCTTTTTTTTTAAGAAAAACGTAATTTAAAACATAGAATTGCGTACCTGTGATATTACCAAGGACGTCACGACTATAGATATGGTAGCAGCGAAGGTACATTTATAGCCGCGCTCAAGAAGAGCGTATCCCATGACTACGTCGAAAACCACGTCGCAGAAGTAACCCGCTAGAGAGATCACGTTGAACAGTACGTCGCAAAGAGGCAGGAACTCCGCCATCGTATACCATTTCTCCTATTTAAAATTTCTTTCTTCCTTTTCCTGCTACCTACAATGGCAATATAACTTTATGTTTTTCACCTGCATCCGTCTAAAGTAGAGTTATTCGTGCATCCGGATAAACAAAATGTGTTTTAATACTATTGTATTGTATTGTTACAATTTCAACAAGTACCGATTTTTCTGTTGTAGGTATTTTTCCAAAACTAAACTAAAAAAGTATCTTTTCATTAAAAATTACTATGGAAAAATGGAACGTTAAAAACTGTTGTGAAGTCTGACAGCGAAAACGTCAAACAAAGTCGTCCATTGCTTGGAAATGATTTCAAACTGTTGTTTTTTTTAGTTAAACTTTAAATAATATTTGATTACAAGTAATGTCTAATTATATTGATTTAGTTAATAAGTTCGGAAAGGATAGCACAAGAGCTGCTTGCAAGAAATGCGGTTACGCGGGTCATTTAACTTTCCAGTGTCGAAACTTTATTAAAGTAAGTTTATCAATCATTTGCGAAGTTATTCAAATGTTTTCAATTTAATAAACAAATTATATATGAGATTGATTTATTTTTCAAAATTTTTTTGAAATGTTACAATTGTTTTTTTTTAATACATAACCTTAATCGTTATTTAAAAACTTATGTTTTTAGGTTGATCCAAATAAAGAAATCGTTTTAGATGTGAGTAGTACAAGTACAGACAGTGAAGAGGATTACGCTACTCCACTACAAACATTGCGGGAAGCAGAATTAAAGAAAAAGTTAGAAGAGCTTAAAAATATTAAAAAGAAGACTAAAAAAAGGAAAAGATCAAGGTAATTTGTATTTATTGTTGTTTTCTCTACGATTTAAAAATTGTAACAGTATTTTTTTTTATATCAAATGGTGGCAAACAAGCGATCGGCCTGAAGTAGCTGAAATAGCGAAGTGACCCTTGCCCATAGACACACGCAATTGCATATGCGTTGCCTACCTTTAATCGACGGAGGACAGGATGCACAGAAAGAAAATATTTTCCCTTTCCATGCATCCTCTCATCCGGAAAGTCCACTTCCCATCCTTTCCTTATAAGGAAAAGGGTGGGAAGGGAAAGAGGACTAATATTGGCCTCCGGGACGCACACTCATCAGAAGAAACGCAGAATAGCTTCCACATCACGCCTGTCTTCTGTGTGGTCGTGGTATTTCACCGGGCGAGCCGAGCCGATTCGTGTGAAGATGTTAAAGCAGGCTCTACCACTGTTGAAAGTATGGTAGTTAAAAGTTAAAACACACACCAACCACTTGCTCGCAGTTTAGCTTGCTCAATTGGCCACAGCAAGTGGGCTTATTTATACAGGTTATTGATAGAGTAACATACTACCTTATACTCAATTTAATTGTAGTTTAATTCATTTAAAATTTAAATTAATTATTTCAGTTCAACCAGCTCTTCATCCACTGACACATCAAGCACTGACTCAAGTGATTCCGAGAGACATAGCAAGAAGAAGAAGAGCAAAGAGAAAAAGAAAAGTAAAGAAAAGAAAAAGAAATCAAAAAAATCAAAGAAACACAAAAAGAATAAGAAATAGTTTTACCTTTAGTAATCTCAGATTTGACTAAACTAGTAATGTTTTAATGGAATTTGTTTTATGAGATAAGACTGTATAATTACTATTAATATGAATAAATAAAGTATGTGATGAACAGCATTATATATTTTTTTATAAGAGTAGGGGGCAAATAAGCAGTGGGAACACCGAGGTGTTCATCGATGCCTATGGACATCTGCAAGACCAGAGGAGCCGCAGATGCTGGCCTTTGAGTTATTTATATACATCCTTTTCCTCATAATGTTATATATCCATATACAATTTCTCTTAGAACCGTACAGTAAAAAAAATATTGTTTACAAGATTTATGTTTACCCTGTCTTCCCCCCAAATGGCAGGATGTCTTACAAAGATTTCCCCTGACAAAAAAACAAGCTGTATTTTTGCTTCAATTTTAAACAGTGATACACTGCTCAAATATCACTACACTCCGATCACAAATTAGGAACCTAAGTTAAATATTAGTCTGTTATATTTACTCAATTAAAAAAAAATATCTAGTTGTTGCCTTGAACTCCATTCACGACGCATTAAAGAAAAAAACTTAACAAGACGCCTATGTGTTCTTCCAGACTATGTTCTACATATGTGATAAATTTCATCAATATCAGTTGAGCCATTCTGAAGATAGCATCAAACAAACATACATCTAAACTAGTAATATTGTTAATGAAGTATGTACAATTAAGTAAATAATCCTAGAATGGTACCAAAGTTTTGCATAATCCCAATAGATATAGAGACTTTGCTAGCAAGATTTAGACTGGTCTCTATTAAGGAATAATGGTTGATTAGTGTCTATGGTGATCCGGAGAGTTTTTTAAGGTTTTATCTATACAGTAAAAACTCCTTTATCTAGACCACTGGCAGCTTCCAGTCACTCTATGCGGCATCACCCCATGTGTTATATATTATTGTTTTAGTTAGTAAACAACCTCATATATGTAGAAATATGAATCTCAAAATGTATGATTTGTTTGTTAATTAACATAATTATGCATTACATATATACAAAACGAAATTTTCTTCATACATTCAGTTACCTATATGTGGAACGGCAATACTTATCTGTTTTATACACACCAGTCTGATGGATTATATGTACAAAAAACCAGAAAAACCTATTTTTAAATATTAAAAATTGTAAAGCTCAAAACCTCATTGATAGTCGCTGCACAGTGAATAATTGCATACCAATTGTTCTCTAAGACATTCATGAATAATTAATAAGTATTTTGTATGCCAAATGCCTCGCCTTAGGACTAGTTCTTGGTATTGTGTTAAACTGCTATGTTAGGTGTTTTGTTGATACATATTTTATGTCAGCTTCTCTACATGTTTATTTGAAATTTTGAAGTATTTAAGGCAATTAACTAAAGATCTGAATGGGTTTACTTACTCCTTTTATAATATTAGCGTGGTTTTTGGCGAGGAAATAACTAGGTGCATAAAATTAGCCTACGACCCTATTTTAGTACACTCCACAAATTATTCTTCTTATTTATTATCTTTTTTACTAAAAAGCTTTAGTACAATACAATAATATATTATTCAGCATAACATAGTATATATTTGAAATCTATAAAGTTATGATAAATAAATTATCATTACACATACTATAGAATTTTATTAAAATTCTTTTACCTTCAAAAGGTAATATTGAAGGAACATTGAAGAATATTTCTTATTTAATGTTCAGTAACATCATTACTCATGTCATCTCATATTTTTAGTTCATTAAAATTATTTATATGAATAGTATACATTAGTTATTTGTTTATGTTCAAAGAAGAATAATAATTTTAGTTTTCTATATATTTTTTATAAGTAACTCTGATATTTAAAGAAGATATCGATAATTAATTATTAACAGCATTGCACATAATTTAAAGTTAAAATTATGAAATAAAATTCTATATGTACCTTGTTAATTGTAATAGAAATTCATACTTTTACAGAATAATTTTGTTACTAGAAAACTACTATAGACTTAATTAACTTGTAATATGATAAAACAAGATAATTAGTTGTTTTGATCAAAAATTAGCAACATAAGCTAGAGAAGTAGAAAGTAGGCTCTCTCCTAGACATATGCTTTCTCCTAGGAATCGCAAAATTAATTTTATTTCAGAAACAAGTAATATGTTGTGATTAAAATGAAAATATATAAGTATAACATTAAATCTACAGTTTTTACTTACCATAATCCTAGGAATTTCTTCGTTTTTATAATAGTTGCATTAATCTAATGAAACACGATACTTGCTTCCGAAATTAAACAATATGTCAACATCACATTGACTATATAACAATTTGATTCCAGTTTGAACAATATTCACATTGTATTTATACACTCATTACACAAAAATGTAAAGTATTTTGGTTAAGTTATACTAAAAACTTTATATAAAGTTCATGTCAAAAGTTCACACCACGTAGTGACATCTTGTGGCCGGTATGTGAATCTTTTGAAAGCTCCATTCATATCTTTTTAAATTTCTGCAAGACAAAGTCATACGTTGTTGAGCCAGCGTTTTATTTTTGTTAAATTTTCATTTTTAAGTTAAAATAAAGTAAGAAATGGATGTTTATAATACCGTTATTTTTTTTTAAAGTTGTTAAGATATTTTAGTTAAAATTAAATCAATTATGACTGAATTGTATTTATTGTGAGCAGTAATATGAGCAAGCACTAAGCGATCGTAGGAATCCTGGAAGCGCGAATTCCAAGGAAACATTTTCTTGAGCCAGTGTGATGATGTGTTCTAGTGGATCAGATTTCATTAGCGATAAACTACAGATTTTTTCCTGTAATAATCAGAATAATAATTTATGTTATCCCTGAAACGTTACTTATTTTAACAATCTATTTTATATTTTGTTGTTTTTACGTGATGCTTACCTCAGTAATAGAATTAACAGCCATCTTTTGTTGCTCGACCTCAATTAGTAGATTCTTTATAGCAACATCACTCTGTACTCTGACTTGATCTATACATTTTTTATATGAAGGCACATTATTTATTTCACATGTGTTTTCTACGAGTTTTGCTGATTTTGTTGCCTTAAAATATATTAACGACTTTAAATTGATTTTTATATTTTAAAATAACGTAATTTTAGGAAATAAATTACCTGTTTCATATTTTTAATTAAAGTAAGTACTTTTTGATGGTGCGCGGTAAACGATGTGTGTAACATGGTTTTCATCATTGTTACTATATCTCTTTGAGTGGGCACTTCAAATGTACCGATATTCTCAGGACGTTCCTCTTCCATACATTTAGTTTGATTTATTTTATTAATTGTGTCATTTGACATCGATGTTTTGTCCATCTATAAAATAAGAATTAATTGGATAATGAACTGTTTTATTTAAATATTATTTTACTTAATGTAATGTTTTTCTTTTTTGTATGTAGAAAGGTACATACAGGCCAAAGAAGTGATGGATGGATTGGTGACATAGTTAAGGACAGATTGACGATTAAAATGACAGATAAATCGATCTAGGATGGAAGAAACTGTTGCGCCTACCCCGAATAAGTGCGATAAGGATAGGAAGATTATTAGCAAGTTTTTTTGTTATTTTTCTTACGAAGAAATTTATTTCAAGAAAAGTCTTACGTTTGTTGAATTTGCGATGACCGTGGATGTTGTAGTTATACTAGAGGAGACGCGTCTGCTGATATCTTCAATGTTGAAGCCTTGAAATAGATCGTAGCCCGCGTAACAGTAACAACCCACCAATTTCATGAAGATAAGTAGATCTAAATAGAGATAATTAAAGAAACCATTTTAAAAATAGAGTTAAAATGCAATAAAAATAAAGAAATAAAATACACAATTATAACCACGTTTTATAATCGGTTTATTGGCGGAGGATTGGACCAATTCGAAGCCGTGGTGGAGCCGCTAAAAACATCGGATGACCAAAAATTTCGCTTCGTTCTGCAACAACTCCAAGCAACGGACCTGCGACATCTCACGGATATTTTGTACAATCCGCCGGAGGCAAAAAAATATCAAGCCATAAAAAACCGCCTACTCGCCGTGTACGATAAATGCCATCGAGATTTCTACACCTTCCGAAGCCATCCACCTTATCAATTCCAGTCAAGATTATCATGGCATATTGAAGACTTATCCTAACGTACTTCGGCCCATGTCACTGAAGCAGCCACCGAAACACAACGTAGTTCATTACAAATCTGGACTCCGAGTGTTATTCTTCCCGCAACTATCGACAGCAGTGAAGACCTCCCACAGGTTCAGTTCCTAAATTACTACAATTATATTAACCATGATAGCAACCATCTATTCATCATTCACCCAATGAAGGGATCGGAGCCTAGACCATAGTCAACCGCTGGCTCAGTGTGGGTTGGTTGACTTCATACATATCTTTGAATTTCTTCTCAAATATGTGCAGGTTGCATCACGATGTTTTCCTTTACCCTAAGAACGTTGGACAAATGCATATCGTATAATCGTATATGTAAATCGAAAAACAAATTGCTACAAGGCGGGATTCGAACCCAGGATCTGCAGATTGGAAGTCAAGTGCTTAACTCCTGAGCCGTCGACGCTCTAGTAACAATCTATTAAGCTAATTAAGAAAAACTTTTAAAATGATACATTTTCCTAGGCTTTATCATAAATAAAAAATATATATATATTCTTAAAGGGGATCGTTTTGCAAGACACGCAGTCATGTAAGAAGGAACAAAAAACTCACATATGTACATTGCAAAGGTAACGCACGTGTACGGGAGTAAGAAACACTCGACAAAGTTACTTTGTACAGAACAATAAGTGCAGTAACTGTTGTGTAAAGCCCTTGCTTGTTTCTGTGAGCACGTGTTCTTGTATAACATGGCTACTTTGTATAGATCACTACTAGATTTATAAATGAAAATATAGTTTACTAACTAGATTTTCAGGCTTTCGTCTTCGCAACTATTGACGAGAAATTTGCTCGAAAATTCATTTTTTTTTAGGTCAGTTATTATGAAGGTAACCATATTTAAATTAGTATCATTCGTAGTATTAAAATAGTATCTTGAAATTGCATTAACTGTTACATTTATCGATACATTAAATAGGATAAGAATTGTCTCGTAAATTGTTTGTAGTTTCGTGTTATTTACAATTAGTTTACAACATGTTTAGTTTATAGTTTTGAAAAGATGCAAAAGCACAGCTAATAATTCTGGCAAATAAAAAAATAATTTAAATCTTTAGTAAGATGATTCAGTAAATCAAAAGGAATCAAGCGATCGTTTTAAACCGGTCTCGTAATACAAGCTTTGTTTCTACGTTATTGTTTAGTCAACATTTAGCAGAGCTTGATAAGAGTTACCGGTTATTATGCCATTATTTATTTCTCAATGTTTATTTGAAAATTAAAGACCTCATTTAATAATAAATTTATGAAAAGACCTAGAACGCATTTAATAGTAATCCATAACCTCTACCAATCTATTTGAGCTATGGGCGGGAATCACATGTCAATTTTGACGTATCTACCAGAGACAAAGTTTTTTTTACATATCGTTACTATGGAAACCTATTGTTACATTGATAGTGACATTTTGACAACATTTTGCGTTATTTTACGTAATAATCTATAAAAATAGTGGTTATTCAAGTCTTATAACAATGGTAACACCATTAAGTGCAGACGATTTTATTGCTATGGAGGGACAGTTGAGAGAATGTTTGGAGGAGGACAGAAGGTACACTCGCGTTAACAATGTCAAATGTGACGCTATACATACCGCTAAAACTTACGAAGAATTCGCGTAAGTTATTAACACTTTGTTTCAAATTATGTTCCTAGGTTACATACGTTCATAACAAAGACAGACCCAACGAAGAGTTCAAAGGTTACTCTATTTTAGAGCGATTGGATGAGTTAACAATATTTGAATTTCTTGCAGAAATGTGTATTTTGTAACAATTTTTATTCAACGTAAGTTAGTAGATATGAAAATCAAAAATTTTAAAACATAGCGAGAATATAACCAGTTTCAAGATGCAAATCTAATCCACTAAACTTATTATTTTCATTGCTATCACGGCCGCAGTGGGAATAGTATACAAAGTCTATGGAAATAGCAGTCGCGTGGTCAGATTTAGTGGAACAGGGATAGTGATGTTTGCAAATGCTAGGTTCGGTTGAAATATAACTTAATATCAAAAGATCGTTTTTTGTTATTTTTACGTTAAATGTTGTTTTAGTGATCGAGTTGCAGCTGCGCATTTGCGTCCTTTAGAGAAAAATGACTATAAAAACAAATTGCCCCGCTCTTGGAACCAATATGCTGCTAAAGATAAAGCAAATGAAGATCAAACGGAACACTGAGAAGTATTAAAAGTGCTTACGTTTCCGGATGAACGGATTTAACTAAAAATTAATAAAAAACAATATAATATTATAAATGTCTTTTAATAAAGTAATAGCAATCAAAAATAATGTATAAAACTATAAAAAAATAATATTTAGGGAGCTAAATAATCTGCGGACATATTTAAAAATCAATATGTTTAATCAGCAGCGCATGAGTTGGCACGCCGCAAAAATAGTGCACTTTTACCCAACGTGCCAACTAAAACGATGGGCACTTACTGTGTACAAATTACTGGATCATTTTAAATGTTTCCTAGGATTTGCCATCTGGATCTGCATTTCAGTCTTGGTGTGAGAACTCTCCCGGAGTGGGTAGTAAAGGCGACGATCATTGCGATCTATCTTGAGAAGAGGTTCGCTAAACCATCCGTACCTACATAATTGTTGGATTAATGTGGAGGAGACCAAATACTAATCCTCTTTACTTTCTCAACCTTTACTAATACAGAAAGGAAGGGGAATTGGCGTAGGAGGGAATGTAAATATTTTGTCAGTGTACAGTCAGCTGCATAAATAACTTAAAAGCTCGAATATAATTTAAAAGATATGTATAGACGTATCAGTCCGTAAGTATGTTTACGCTCTTGGCGACTACGTGTATAAGTAATTTTGAAATGAACGGCCTATATTTTCTAAATTTAAAAACGTATTCATATTTATGCAGCTGACTGTACATACTTTACTGTCCAACAAAGATTACGCTATTTGCAACCTCTTAAGTTGATACAGATGTCGTTAGGCAGTGATCACTTCGCTATATTAGCGTAATCACAAATGCTTGTTCATTTATCAACCTCCATAACATCTGTCTATTAAGGGTCATTTCCACTACTTTTAACTAAAAAAACTCAAAGTATTTACGTTTGATTGTCAGTAACTGGCCAGGGGTAGTTACTGCGCGGCCCTTTAGCCCTGTACTTGGCAACGTTGATGCAGTAATTGTTCTCTTTATCAGCCAGCTCCCGTGATACTTCGCCAATCTGATCGTGCGCGGCGTAGAACTTGGATGTTACAGGAGTTGCTGGATATAGGTTTTTGTGGTAAGATGCATAAGATGTTTACAGTGGATTCATATTTAAATAAATGAAGTAGCGGTCGTCCGCGACATTGACAGCACAGGAAAAAAGTAGGTACAATATTCCCGCGTGCATCAGTTAGGTTCCTCTTAAAGTCATATTCAAACCGGTCTAGCCCTTCCGGAGATTACCCGGAATAAACGCTGCCTTGCGGACAGGTAGTTAAATTAAAAAAAAATCTACACTAAGGGTGATATACGGCTAGCATTAAGAAATTTGCGCAGAAAATACCGCCTCTACGTTTTTGTAACAAAATGAGAGGAATGAGAAAATTGTTTGTATACAAGCGATTTAAAAAGACAATGTATACTTGAAATTTTATCTATTTAATTTTACCTTTAAAGTTAGGTCTATAGATCTTGTAATTCCGAAAATGTTTCAATTCCCTGTAGATAATTTGGTTCAACATGTTAATGTTAATTGGCATACGTATACCGAAAGTGCACTTTCCAGGATCCATGTTTATTGTTTATAGGAAGGTTTCTGAAGATTATTTATCTAAATAATTTATGCTTACTTCTGAAAATTATCAAATTATTCAAAGTATTGTAAATGGTTTGAGTTGGCACGTGTTATACAAGAGTACTCTTAATGCCGACGTGCCAATTCATATTCCGGGTACCAAATGTAAGTAAAAATTATCAAAACTGTAATTAAATGTTGATTTGATTATTATAAGGTTATTACCTCGAATGTGTTAAGGTTGTGTAAAATGTATTTTATAAAATGTTCATAAAAATAATTCGTATAAAATCGTGTATAAAATTACATTGTGACGCACGTCAAAATTTTGACAGATACAATTATTTTATAGATTAAATATTGCATTTCTAAATATCAATCAAAGAGGTTTTAGTCAAAATAAATATTTTTTTTAATTGCTGAAACACTCGTTTCGTTCATACAAATCACGAAAATATTTTAACAAGAAAACTGATTTATGATATTGTTTAAGTGTTGCTTAATATTTAGGTTATTCTATATAATTATTGTGTCGAAGTAACTTTGGAACACTCCTACAGTATGTTCCAATTACGTTAACAAAAAAATACAATAATAGAAAGAGTAAAACAATCAAAAAACGTAAAAAAACTTTATTAAAATAAAACTAAAAAATTAATAAATAAACGAGTATACCACAAAACTTACAATAAAATAAAAGTAGTATAAAACTTAATATTTAAACGGGTTTCAAATCTACACACTTGTATTAATATATTGCTATCCTTTTCATTCTCTTTGACTAAAAAGAGGCAGAAATATGTAAAGCTTTTAATATTATTTGTTACGTTTTCAATTTGCTCTTTGGATTGGACATGTGAATAATAATTTCTATCTTTGTATCATCGCTTTCAGTGATTGGTTGGTAGAAGCGGCGGTCGTTACGATCTAAATTTATTAAAGGTTTGTAATGCCAACCATATCTGAAATTAAATTTTTATATTACAATGGTTCTTACGTAAACAATCGTAACCCACGATTTACAACATTTCATTTGAAAAGTGAATAACTATAATATAAAACTACAAAGTAGCTTTTTCATGCGGTGCAATATCATAATAATGTTTAATGTTTGCTTCTGTATAAATTATCTTACTTAGCAACTAAGGAATTATTATACAGCCAGTAGTTTGAAAAGGGTAAAAAAATAACGTTAATTGGGTGTTTTAAAATTTTCCTATTGGACCTATTCATCGTTTGGTCGTTCAGTCCAACGGTAAACACCCCGCTAATTTAACCACCGACTTATTAATAATCCAAGCTTAATCTAATCTAATAATAAAAGCTAATCCAAAACTAATTGACGAATAACTAACTCGTGATTAGATGTAACCGGAGTTGAATATTTACTGCGAGGTCCCATTGATCTGGCCTTCGTCACCTCCTTGCAGTAATCGTCAACCTTTAACTTTAGATTCTCTGTTTCTATTTGAATGTCGTGAGCAGCATGGAATTTTCCAGATACTGGTAGAGCTGGAAATCATTATCATCATCATCAGTTCACTACGTATAGTTTTTTCTACGTTTATTCCCCACCGAGGGGCTCTGAGCCTACCCTAAGTTAAGGGTGATTAGGTCTTAGTCAACCACGCTGGCCAAGTGCGGGTTGGTTGGCTTTACACATATCTTTGAATTTCTTCTCAGATATGTACAGGTTGCATTACGATGTTTTCCTTCACCGTAAGAACGTCGGATAAATGTCCATATGTAGATCGGAAATCGAAAAACACATTGGTACATGGCGGGATTCGAACCCAGGACCTGCAGATTGCTAATCAAGTGTTTAACACTTGAGCCACCAACGCTGTTTATACCAAGTATTATATTATCAATTGTCTACATTTAACCGTCATGTGGTATGGAATGGTACTTTAAGCTTGTCTGATTGAAAATTACCGATTGGTTTCTCGTGAATATTAATGAATAAACTAATAAGTCCTCCATCTATAATGTAGCTTACACCGTCGACATCTAGTAATATATTTACCTCCAAAATTAGGTCTATATGTTTTGTAGTTGCGGAAATGTTTAACCTCTCTGGCAATGATTGCATTGAGCATGTGAACGTTGATAGGCATACGAATACCAAATGTGCATTTATCAGATGCACCAACCATTTTAAGACCTGGAAAGGGACAAATGGACAATATCCCCAATCGCTTTTTTAAAGCTAGAAAAAGACAAAAATAATTAAAAATTAATCGTTAACTCTGCTAAATTATTTTCATTTTATAATATATTATATGGAATTACTAACCTTTTCTGACTATATGCTATTTACTATATATATAAAAATTACTTCAACTATCCCACACTTGGCCAGCGTGGTTGACTATGGCCTAGTCACCCCTAACTTAGGGTAAGCTCCAAGCCCCTCGGGGGGGCGAATACTGAGCTGATGATGATGATAAAAATTACTTATAAAATATATTTCAATATAAAATAATATGTTTATAAACGTATCAATAACAAATCAAAATATTCAAAAAAATAATAAACGTTTCAAAATCTAGTTCAAAAGTAAAAATAGTAACGAAATACGCTCATATATCTTCAAAAATTAAATGACATTGTCAAAACAAACACTTCAAATAGAAAATGATGGTTCCGAAACGGTAAAGACAAGCTATGCCACAAAAAAAAGATATAACGTAAAATAAATATAAATACCGGGTCTCGTAAAAAAGGAGCTTCTGCTACCAAAAATTATGAAACTACTTTTTAATTTTGTCCACCTGAATTCATAATTGCAAAGCGAGACCTGCCCATAGACATCCACAATAAAAGATGCGTTGCCTACCTTTTTAGAAACAGGCTTGTGGTGCTTTATATCTTTAGCCTTAGTTATAACGATATTATGGAAACGAATGGTAAACTTTCTAATTACGCATTCAAAGGCAAAGATTGATTGTAGAGAAACAAATTATACAAATTTGACGTATAATAAAAATCTTCTTATTACACTTAAACTCTTTATTTTGTATACTATTTGTAAAAAGTAAATATTATAAACTAAAAGTACGTATTATAAAAAAGTTTTCACTGTCTGAACTTAATCTCATTTCTTTTGCGTTGGATTTGACATTCGTATAATAACTTCTATTTTAGTGTGTATGCTCTCTCTTGTGGGATGATAGAAACGACGATCACTTCGGTCCATGGCTACTAGTGGTTTGGAATACCAACCGTATCTGAATAAAAATAATGAAGTTTAAATTCTGATGTTGTTGTGATTTTTGTATATTTATTTATCTTTGGTTTTTAGTGTATTAGCGCAACACTAGCCTTATTAAAATGTCGATGTCGTTTATGTCCCCTCACTAATCATTCTGACACTGAACTTTGTAACGAAGACGCGTCATTCGAGCCAAATGATTCTAACTAATACCGTCTAAAACTTCTTACTAATATTATAAATGCGAATGTTTAGATGGATGTTTGTTTGAAGGTATCTCCAGAACGGCTGAACGGATCTTGATGAAATTTGACGTACATATAGAACATAGTTTGGAACAACACATAGGTTACTTATGTTTTTTTTTAAATCTGCGAGAACATAGTTTCGAGCGACTGCTAGTAGGTTATAAAATCGTTATTATGAAATGAATTATTACTCATGACTCGTGGTAACAGGCAAAGGGTTTTTACTGTGCGGCCCTAGGGCTCTTGCTTGCCCAACTTCTTTTCTATATTCCTCAATTTTTTTATTTTCATTCTCAGTATATTTCATTATATCGTGGGCCGCATAAAACTTAGAGGCTATTGGCACGGCTGAAAATTGTTAATACATTTTGAAAAGATGATTATTAAAATAAATATTGTCAACTTCTCTACGTTTAAAGTTATTATGATTCCAATATTTATTATGATCCTAAAGATATTTAACTTATTTTTTATAAAAATGAAAAAGAGTAGAACATCAAATCATTAATTTAAATGCTCTACCTTTGAAATTAGGTCGATAATTTTTATAATTCCGGAAATGTTTCACCTCCCTGGATATGATTTCGTTAAGCATATGAATGTCGATTGGGGCTCGATTGCCAAATGTACATTTTCCTGTACCAGCAGCCATTTTAAATAGCTAATGGTTAAATCTAGAACAATTAAAAATATAAATTATTATTTATCTAAGTGTCCACTTTGTTTATACAGCGTGTGACAAAACTAATGGATTGAAAAAACATTTATTTTATGAAAAAAGCCTACTTGAATATTTTGAAATAATTACAATTAATTAATTATCTTTTAGGCGATTCGTTACTCGTTTGCCCCCATCTATAAAAAAATAATTACAAGACGATATAGATATAAAAGAATGTCATGAAAGTATTTCATGAGATTTTTCCTTTTTGACTTCCTACTCAGTGTCCTTTAGTGCTAAATTTAGCATCAATCCTTCTTGAGTACTTAAAATTTAGCGACCTTAAACTTTGCAATCTTAAAAATGGTATTGAGGTCTAACCAATCGTAAAGGGTTTTTGCGGAAGATTCCTTTTTTTGTAACAAAAATAATTATGAGAAAAATGGCTTACCTTTACAAATTAAAATAAAATAGCTTATAAAAAACTTAGTAAAACTTATATAAATTGTGCCAAAAGTTAATATTAAAGATAAATATTAAAAATTATAACAAATCATTATTATAAATTGCTACCAAATTTATAAATAAGCATAAAAACGAAAATACATCGACTGCTCAAAAATATCTTATAAATATCATTTTTGACAAAGTCATAGAGTCAACAAAAAATGATTGCTTTTAAGAAAAAAGGTAGAGTAAAAAGCAAATTTTTTTCGTCAATATCTTTTTATAATTCTAAGAGAAAATCCGACATTCTTCTTTTTAAATTCGACCATTTTGACGAATTATGTCATAAAATGTCAAAATTCTTTCACTCTTTGTAGAAATACCAATGTATATTTTTTGATTTTGTTGTACGATTAAATGTTTTTATCATTAAACAATAATTTAGTAAAAATTTAATTTAATTTCTTAATAATATTAACTTTTGGAATAATTTATATAAGTTTCATTATCGTATTTATAAGTGTTTCTATTATATTTACATTTAGGTAAGGTTATATTTTAATAATTAATTTCTGTAATTATTCGTGATATTTTCGTAATAAAAATATGTTGAAAAGATATACGTTTAGGAATTTAGTAATTGGTTAGTTAATTACACTTTTACTAAATAACAAAAACTTTCTTAACTTTATGAAAATAATTAATTATTCAAACTTTCGTGAGACATAATAATAAACCGATATAAAAACGGCTAAACCCTCACGTATGTATGTATATTCGTCCGACGGCGACAATAATACCAGTTACCCTGATTAAGGGCCCCCGATGGGCACGAAACTAGTCGGTGCCGCCATCAGACGAATATACGTGAGTATTTAGCCGCTTTTATATCAGTTTAAAATAATTTATGTTGTTAGTTTTTGCATTTGTCTAATATCAATTTACTTACTTTTATCAGGTTTATTTATACAATGGCAACTGGAACAGGGAAATGTACATTTGGTACTCGACCGCCGATTGATATCCACATGCTCAATGAAATTATATACAGGGAGGTCAAACATTTCCGTAATTACAAGACATATCGACCTAATTTCAAAGGTATATTTTAATTAGAATTAAGCACCATACCCTAATTTTTAAAGGTACGGATTTCCGAACACGTAGTCGAGAGTTGGAATCCCACCATTCGACTATTGTCGTAAACCATATCCTAGCATAAGACAAGAGCTTAGTTGGAATGGTACGAGAAATATTAGTAAATTAAGAAAAAAATGTTAATATTTAAAAAAAAATTATTCCTTTTATGGTATTGTATATTTTAACACCTCCTATGTTAAGCCCGCTACACACCTTTAGTTTTAACTGAACTGTTGGACTGCACAGTTGAAACATACGTATGTAAGGCCACATTTTGATTGTCAGTTAAACTGTACAGTTTTAAATTTTGCCTACACACCTTCAAATGTGCCTGTACAGTTGAACTCAAAGAGGACTTAATAAAGATGAATGTTTGAGTAGGGGTTACTCTATGATGGCGGAGCAAAAACTTTCTACCTTTAGTTAATTCGCGGTTAAAAAGGCGTTTACTCGTAGTGAACGCGTGTAGCTCGAGGAGTAGCTACGGAGTAGGGTACTAGCGTTTATCTTAATTCTATGTCTGTGGTCTGATAGTACTCTTTAATATTAATATCTCCAGCACTTATGTTACTACGTCCATTTTAAATGTTTTGGTTTTCAGGTGTACCTTTAGCTTCTAAGTTCTACGCAGCCCATGACCAGTTGGAATCAAGTGGTGAAGAGAGTTTGAAAGTAGATGAATATTGTCGAAATGTGGGACTGGCTAGAGAACTAGGGCCGCTCAGCAAATACCCTTTACCAATTACGACAAGTCACGAGTAAGAATTAACTATAATAATTTTAAATTATAAAAATGGCTGGGTTATATGATAGTTATTGGAAGAGAAAGATATCCTACGTGAACTGTACATTTTACATAATACAAAGTGAAGTAAAGTTGTTCGTCATCTATTTGTGCCAAATTTCACTCCGATCCGTTTAACCGTTTTGGAGTTACCTTGTCATAAACATTTGAAAATTCGCATTTATAATATCATATACTTATAGTGACGAGTATAATAAAATTAGAAGTTGCCCGCGTCGTCGTAGGCGCATAATTAAAAAAAAAAACAATAAATATAGCTTATATCACTCGAAGATAGTGTGATTCCCAAGAGTGAAAGAATTTTTGAAATTTATTGTAGACGTAGAAGTCTTGAACTACACATAGGCTACCTAGGATCTTGAAAATGTGTACGGTTCCCGTGACATATGTCCAGTTTACATATTTACTAGATAACACATCTTATTGAAAGGAATATATATATATACATATATATATATATAACATACTCTCGAGTAACTCTTGTAATACATTTCATCCAAATAAGATGCAGATGAAGTCGCGCGCAAAAGCTATAATAGATTAAGATTACATTTGTATCAGGTACGGTTGGTATACCAAGCCCCTCTATCCAATGGATCGCAATGATCGTCGTTTCTATCTACCGAAGAGAGAAAGCCCACACACTAAAATAGAAGTGGTCATACTAATGTCAAATCCAAGACAAAGGAAAGCTTGAAGTAACTCAGCGGTGGAAAAACTGAAATACCTTTTCACAGTGTCATTTATTAATTTTAGTATATCTACTTTAGAAATCATTTTAGATGTAATATTAGAATTATACAAATAAAGTTTTTAAGTTTATTAAAATCTTTTAATTATTTTTACTCACCGTATACTTTTGCTATAGATGCGGGGGTTAGACAAAGTGCATTCGCTTCGAAGTAATTCCATAGCGAACTTGAAAAATGTATAGAACTGACAATAACTTTCGATAAGTCACGTGATTGTCGCGCGTCAGATCCATACATTTATGAAATTCACTATGGAATCGCTTCGAAGCGAACACTTTAACTCCGAAGGAAAAGTTAAGTTATCGTTTGAGTAAGTTCGTTTTTGCTTCCTTTCCACTAGCCCCAGTAAATGTGTGAAAGTAGAGTCGTTGACAGTCATTTAGTTAAAAAGGAGTCTAATGAAATGCGAACGTTACAATATTTTCGTACAGCGAAATATGCAACATTTTGATAAGAATCAAAAATAAAATTAACCGTAATTCTTAATTTGCATTTATTTTTCAAATTAAAATATTACAATAATAGATAATTAAATTATCACTTAATTATTTTATAATCTTATTTCTAGGTTTTCATCTAAATTTAACAATTAGAACAGTAGATCAATCTTTGTTAAATCTTCACCTAATACAAGTCTGACATTGTAGAGACAATAATGTTATTATACAAGTGTTTATACAGTGTAAACCTACTGATAACATTATCGATATATCTTACTATTACGGTATATACTATCACTAGTTTTTCGATAGGTTTCATTTCTATCCGAAGGTATTTTGAGATACCATCCGTATCTGTAAAAAAAGTTAACTTGATCGATAAAAAGTATTTTTGTGATAAGTTTAATATTTTCTTTATCAACTAAATCTTTTAACAACCAACCTTTTAACCAGACGTAATATTATTTAAAACACTGGCTGTGGGCTAAGACTTCCAAGAATTAAAAAAAATAATAGCATATGTATCCTTTCAAACTATGCTCTACATTTATGACAAATTTCAGCAAGATTCACTCGGACTGTCTGAAGAAACTTTTAACAAACATCCATCCATTCATACATTTGCATTTATAATAATAGTAACATTAAAAAAATAACAGTTAAAAGGTTGTAAAGTTGGAACGGCTATGAAAATCCATGTAACATACTCTTGGTTGGAGGTGACCGGTGCAGGATATTTATTGCGAGGACCTCTTGTCTTCAAGCCGGCTATTCTGTCCGCGTACTCTTCAACTTTCTGTGTTTCTACATTACTCTCTTTTACTTTGACTAAATCGTGAGATGCGTAGAATTTACTTGCCAATGGTATTGCTAAGAAATTAATTTGAACTTTAATATTATTTCGTTGTGTTACAAGTACTTTTTTGTTGCTGATGAATGGTAAAGGAATTAGTGAATGTGTTTTAAAAGAAAAAATTATATTATTACTTACAAGTCGATTAGTACTTGTTTGTTATCTACTAAGTGGGAACCTTTTTCAAAACGTCAAAGGTAATGTACGCAGTTGCTAGTACGGAAAGAGTAAGTTGATAAGGTTTTCACTCAGATAATCGAACTTCAAAAAATTTATTAATTTTTTTTAAATTTATACTTTTAAATTAGAGTATGGTGTTCAAAAAAATATTATGGTTATTTTATAATGTTTTTAATATTTTTCCAAGTAAGGTTGGCAACAGGAAGACGACCGGTCGTTAAAAAATAAGCCAAAGTCTGCGCCAACTTCATATGAGTGGGATAAGGGCAGGACATAGGTGTTTAGAAAAATATTGACTCACCCCTGAAATTAGGCCGATACGTCTTGTAATTGTGATAATATTTAGCCTCCCTGTATATGATTTCACTTATTAAATTATTGTTCATAGGAGGTCGAGTACCAAATGTACATTTTCCTCTAAAAGCCATCTTAATATACTAAAATTTTTAAAACTATATTAAAAGGTGGACTGACAAGAATAAAAAGATAAAATCAGACTTCATTACCTTCACTTAGATTTAAGTTACACATAGAAATATAAATTATAAGCTTAGTTTATTTTATTTAATATTTTCCATACTATATAAATGAATTTCAATGGAAAATTATTTGAAAATGTAAAAACTACGCATCGTTTTCAAGTAAATATCAAAATGACTGCGTCAAAAGTTCATTACTGACCACAGAAATAACGTTCTGAATTTTATTCTCTAGATGAAACCTAAGTAGAAAGTTTTTTTAATTAATATTTGTTTAAATGAATCTTCGATTTTAAACGACATAGCGTTTAAATTATTCAAACTTTCGTGAGACATTATACTAAACTGATATATAAACACGGCTAAACACTCACGTATAATCGTCCGGTGGCGATTATAGACCAGTAGACACCGACTAGTTTCGAGCCCATCGGGGGCCCTTCATCAGGATGAGTGGTACTGGTATTATTTCGACATATTTTGACATAGCGTTTTTTGAGAGATTGAGGTCTTAAATGCGCATAATCTTACTCGAAACACATAATAATTATTTTTAAATACCTTTATTCTTACTAATATTATAAATGCGAATGTTTAGATGAATGGATCTCCGGAACCGCTCAATGGCTTTTGATGAAATTTGGCATACATGTAGAACATAGTCTGGAAGAACACATAGGCTACTTAGTTAGGTTTTTTAATTCCGCGCGGACGGAATCACGGGCGACAGCTAGTATTCTATAAGAAAGAAGAAAGTGAATTAAGATATGGCGGGTAATAGAGTACATAATGTGCCGACTTTGGGTAGAGAAAAGTGCAGGATGGAATTTGTTTAAAACCTTAGGTATTTGTGTCCGTACTTTGTAAACTGCAATCATCAGATGTAGACAGTAATTTTAATAGTCTTGTAACGTCGTTAAGTCGAGATGGTCGTTAGATTAACGTTAAATTGCGGTTGGATTACACCGACCAACTACTACCCACAAACCCACTACTAGTAAACAACCTTAGTTTGCATAATGTTTGATGCAATTTTCAATATATTTAGTTATGTTAAGTTTATTAGTATTTTAAAGGTACTAGCGTATTATTGTTCTTGATAAACATTTTTAAGAAATAATTTTTGGATATAGAATATTCAAATAAAAATTTCACCAAAATTGAGTAAACCTTATCCTTCTTTTATGCATCCTTAATGCATAAAAGAAGGATAAGGTTGATTAAACCTTTAAGTTGAACAAGTCATGAGTATTACTGATTTTTAACAATCTATAATTGTTTATTTAAGTAATAAAAATGTAATAAATGAAATGTCCTTCCAATGAAGATCCCTGAACTGAATTTAAGAGCCTTGAGCTCCCGCTTCGGCCGTCATTCCTCGCGCCGCCGAGAGACGCGTGAGAAGCTTTGAGCTGCGACCTACCTCATAAGCGGAGCGGAATGTAGTTTAATGTAAAAAAATATGAATATCAGGTTAGGATGTTCAGTTTCATTAACTTGCTTTGCGAGATTATTTTAGTACTTAATAATATAGGTTTGGACGTGTTATGAAAAAATAATTAACGTTGTGTATTAAAAAAAAATGTCTTTGAATTCTGCGAAATTAATTATTTTTCATCGTAGAAGACTAATTCAGAAGTTCAAACTGCCACACAGTAGCTATATCAACAGACCCGTACTCCTGTATACGTATAAAAAATACAGTAGCAAAAATCTCTCCGCTTATGTCTATGGTTGGTCCACAACAAAAATTCCAATCGCCCATCGCATCCTCACCGATATTGCGGTATCCGCGAAATCGACACCCCGCAAGACAAGTATTTCATAAGGCGTATAATTGAAATAGCCGCAAATAACCTCCCTGCACCCCCATTCCCATCCACTACACCAGGGGTGGTAAAGTGCTGGGCATACGTTCCGGTGTCACGACTAAGCTCGAACGGGATTACAGGTGAAGGAGATGGCAAATTAAAATTTTACTAATATTATAAATGCTAATGTTTAGATGGATGGATGGATAGACTTAGGAATGCCTGAACGGATCTCCATGAAATTTGGAATACATAATCAAAAAGAACACATAGGCTACAAATTATGTTTTTTTTTAAATTCCGTGCGTAATCCATTATGTCGAAAGGTAAAAAAATTGCCACAAAAAAGAATGGATGGATCTATGCAACAAAAGTATTGTCATTATTAAAATTTCTTTAAAAAAAGACATTTATACATTTTTGTACAGCTTTTCCGTCAGTGTAAACTAACGGTTAGGAAGCGGTTAGGTGACAATAGACGGGCTGTTTAATGAGAACGCTTTGTAACACCGTTTAAGGACGACTCCAGGTGCAATCCGATCGAGATTTACTTTTCTCGCAATTAACATTTTCAATTGCTTTAAGTATATTGATTTATTTCTGTTTACTTCGAACTATAAGCATTATTATAAATTAAAATCATTATATTAATTTATTTTAAGAAATTGCGTGTACAGATGTATGAGAAATGTGACACAGATAAAGTTAATTTGAGAAGTGCATAAAGCTTTTTTAATAATAAACCAAAAAAAATTGACACATAAAATAAAATAAAAATACTGTTAAATATTATATAATAATATAAATATTATCTGTGGTCTTCAGTAACTGTCATGTCAATATTTCGACATTCGATGTCAACACATAACAAATTGTCAAATTATTTTGACGTGTCATACTTAATCTTTGTTCAATTCGTCAAAGACTACAAATTGGACAAATACCTTCTCAGAGGCATTTTTATTAATACAAGATTTCTTACTGTTTTTTTGCTAACATAGGGGAAATGTGGAATAAAGAAAAAAAGGAGACATAAATTAATGGTATAACATTTAGCAAATTTTATCATCAAAAGATGATTAAATTCATAAATTCTTAAAAGAGAATCATTTGAAAATAATTTTGCCACGAAATTGAATAGCCTGAATTAATCTTTCTATTATTTTGTCGCTACTAAACGGTTTCCTCATCTCTATAATCACCTCGTTTACGAGACGAGATTGTTTGACTTCTTAATCTTATATCTTAAAATGATTTAGAAAAAGATGAATATATTAGTTTTTATACCCAATTAACCCTATTAGCCTAGAGTTTCTATTTTGATACCAATCTTTTAAACCGAATGTTCACATTACTATAGTTTTTTTATAGGTTGGCTGTACCTATTTTACTGTTGTATATTCTTACCAACGAAATAAAAAAAAAACAAATTTCATTATTGTTTTATTTTATCAAGCAAACATAGTAATATTAAAAATAAATAACTTTCGTATGTATATCAGCTTACTAAGGGTTAAGTATCCAAATGCAAGAGTAATTAATACTATGTCGTTATACTAGTGGTGCCATCTTTCGTCATTATTTAACCTAAACTCACAAGCGAATTTAGGTTTCAGGTCATACCCAACGAAAATCATTATCCACCTTCCAGACGGGCAAAAAGGAAAAGTACCTAAATTTATTGTATACAAAGTTGCTGACCGAATCATAATTTTCATAGAAGGGATCAAAGTATAATAAATATGAGATTGATGTTTAATAATTTTTCCTTTCGTAAATTATGAACGTAAAAAGCTCAGTGAGTCGGTTCAGATGGTTTGTATTAAATTTCCTACACAATATACGGTAACAAAACATAAAAACATTAAAAAAAAGGTTTTTTGCAACACCTATTGATACCTATAGACGTTTGGATATGTTAAGATTTTTAAATTAAGAATGTTTCTTGTAAAAATTAAATATAAGTTCAGAGCTTATACTATATGATTTACAAATGAATTAAGGTATTTAAATCCACGATAGCTAGTTCCACAGACCGTACCGCCACGATAAAAAAAATTATGACTTCCGAAAAAAACAACGAGTTGGATTTTTTTATTCTACGAAATTTATATAAAAACAAAATATATTAACGTACATTTTATATTTGTTATATTGCACATAATATTTCTGTTAAAATGTTTGCGACTCTATACGATCTATCAAAAGAAAAGACGCTTGCATCAGCCAGCTACCACTTTGTCCTATGCTTTTAACGAACGATAACTAGCGTTGAATTTATACCACTTACAGTTCATCTACATCAGTACTAATATTATACAGTAAAAAGATTTGATTGTTTGTTTGCATTACGCAACAAAAATGCTAAAACAATTAGGAAAAATTAATTTATTATTTTCAGTTACATTTATACCTAGATTTATAAAATTCCGCGCAAACGAAGTAACAGGCAACTGCTAGTGTTTCATATTGATTTTAACTTATAACCACTGTGAAAGTATGAACTACAGAAAATATTTGCCCTTTTGAAGTAGATGAAAATGATATATGGAAATTTTACGATACGATTGTTTTTTTGTGAATTATAATATAATGTAAAATGATATACATTTATTGTCAAAGATGTTCAGTACTTCAGTTCGGTCATCATGACGTAATTAGTGAAAGATTCATTTCAGGACGCCGTTTAACCTTGCGGTTGCGACCTTTCCCCTTTGAAAAGATTTCCTACTGTACTAAAATTTATGTACGTAGTAGCTTCGTAGCTTATAGTTCGTAGCTTTGAAACTTGTAGCGCCGTTATTCCTAGCTACGTGGCATAGGAGTATCGTAGCTTGTTGCAACATAGATTGCGTAGCGCGTAGCATTTGTACAACAAATTGAAAATTTAAATGGTTCTTAATTTAATCAGCTTTTAAGTTGCAAGCACATATGTATTTAATCCGTATTCAGTTCGATTTTGACGGGACGTTAGCTATTGTATGCGAGAAAATAGGCTGCTTTTTTAATTTTGAGGTGACAAAGTCTCGGGCGACCACTACTTTAAAATAGAAATATACATTTTGACGTTAGAAAATGTAAAAAATAAAAGAAATAGCTAACTGCATAGTTTTGAGAACTGAGCAAACGTTATTTAAT